CCACCGTCACACTCATGAGGGTGATGCTGGGAGAGTGGGAGAAGCCGGCCAGGGTGTTGAAGGCCGCCTGGAGCAGCTCTTCCTTTTACAGGTGAGGGAACAGAAGTGCTGGCAGGTAAGCCACCTGTTCCGGGGAAATGCAGGTTTACTCCAAAAACAATTAAAACGCAAAGGAAATGAATGACTCATGTTTGAGCAAGACTCTCGTCCAGTCATAAGGAGAGCAAACCAAAGGAAACGGAGGAACCTGAGCTAAAACTTATCTATTGGCTCCAAACAGGTTTATTTTTAACCAAAACAACAAAAACGAAACAGTTCTATGGTCAGGCCCTTGTGTTCTGCTGGAGGAAGTGTGGGTGGCATGTGCGCGGTTCCTGACCCCCCCTTCCATTCAGGATGGTCCCCGAGAACGTCTGCAATGGTGGTAATTTCCAGATTGTTTAGAGGAGAGCAAACCCTCTGTGGAGCCCTGTCTGCGGCTGTGACTCATGCCCGTGGGCATTATGGCATCTTGGCATCCAGGGCTGGGCTCTTCTGGACTGTTAACCGCAGGCGCCCTCCCCAGGCGGTGAGAGCTGCAGGGAGTGTGGCGCGGGAAGGCCTTTCTGGGCCCCGCACGGCCAACGGGGAGGCGGCCAGGAGCCAGATGTCAGCGATGGGAGATGGAGGCCAGCCTTCCCCCTCTGCATTTACCTCCCACCCCAGCACTCCCCCACAAAGTCTGGGGTGGGTCTGTAGGAAATCATTGCCGAACAGAGCCTCTTTCTCCCCACCCCACTGAACGCCCCCCTCCTCGTTCCTGTCCCTGCTAAAAACACCCTGGGAAGATAAGATCACCCACCAAATGTTGCTGTAAAATGGTCTGTTTCCTCCACTAGTTATCAGGGGCATCTGATCAAAGAAATGGTGCCCAGGCCTGGTTATCTAATAACCAAATAAACCAAATGAACAAGCTGGCTTCCTGGGTGGGAAGGGTGGGCAGGGCTGCTCTGGAGGAAGGTAGGGACAGGCCAGAGTGGGATGGCTCTCTTTGTGACCGTGCTGGCAAGGGCGGAATCAACCAGACGCTCTCCGTCACCCTCATGTTACAGATGGAGAAACTGAGGCAGGGAACCTGTGTTCCTGCTTTTCAGAGAGCTCGTGGTCATTGGGTAACTGACACTCATTTGTCCCCTGTGGTAATTGCCCCAATGTCAGTCTTGCTCTAAGTTACACCAGTGCACAGTGTGCCTGGCACAAACCTTTTGTTTAACAAGGCTCACCACATAGTTGCTGAATGAATGGATGAACCAGCAACACTCCGCACGGAGTGAATGAACGNGTTGCTGAATGAATGGATGAACCAGCAACACTCCGCACGGAGTGAATGAATGAGCAAACACTCTCCTANGCAAACACACCGCACGGAGTGAATGAACATGCAAACACACCGCACGGAGTGAATGAACATGCAAACACACCGCACGGAGTGAATGAACGTGCAAACACACCGCACGGAGTGAATGAACGAGCAAACACTCTCCTCGGAATGAGCACTGGCCTCACCTCAGAAAGCCTGATCTGGAGTCTTAATGCTACCCCTTAGCCACTCACCAGGGCTGGGCCTCGGCCATGCATCCAGCGCTCAGATGGAAGGGGCTGTCCCTCGCAGGCTCGCACAGGTGCAGGGCGGATGCCTGAATGTGAGTGCCCCTTCCGTTTCGAGCCCTGGGTGCCCAACTTGCCTCACCCTAGCCCTGGCCCTGCAACTCACTCTGAGTCTCAGATTTTCTCTGTACAATGGAGGCAGTCCCTGTGCTACAACGTAGGATTAAGAAGACAGTGTCTGCAGAAATGGGCATTGGGCACTGGATCCAGTCTTCTTAGGCCCTGAGACCCTCTGGAGAGAAGTCAAAGGTGTGAGATGGAGCCCAGGTGAGGCCCGGGTCTGAGGCTTGAAAGTCTGGCTCCTCTGCCTGACTAAACTGCCTGGGTCCTGAATGGCTTCTTGCGCACTTGCTCTGGGGAAGGCACGTTGTGAAAATGCTGTAGGGAGCCCAGAAACTGCCTCCAGCAACCTGTCTCAGTCTTCTTGCTCCATCAGGCTATTGTGTGTGTGTGGGGGGGGG